TCAAATTGTAGTTTTTATGGTCCTGTATGTGTATTTTCATTTGGTTGTTTTTGTTTGGTTTTAATGGTTTTTAAGATGTGTTTTTGTTAGGCTTGCCAGCCTCCAGGTGATGGCTGGAGATCTCCCGCTATTACAACTGATCTCCAGGTGACAGAGTTCGGTTCACCTGGAGAAAATGGCTGTTCCCTGATCCCCGCCCTCCTCAGGCTCCACCCCCAAAATCTCCAGGTATTTCCCAACCCAGAGATGGCAATCCTAGTTTTTGTTATGTATGTTTTTAATTTGTTGGCTGCCTTGGTGGCTCAGATGAGAGAAGGAATTATAAACTTACAGTTTAATGTAGATCAGAAGGACAAGCAAAAGGAGAGATATGTGTATGTGTTTGAGTGCCTGAGGGTTTTTTGATTCTCTGTGTTACAAATTCACTCACTCTGTGCTTTGACAGTTTCCTTTCTTAGCTGATTACCTGCTTTACATGGGTTTTGAATACACTGTAATGGATTTAATAGTAGTCATGCAACATGGCTCACTTTTTTGAGTGATCTGTTGTTCATGAATGGGTAGATTGCTTGGTACAACTTAGGAGAGCTATGCATCTTCAATACCTAGAGTGTATTCTGATGTCTTCTGAGAGCCAGTTTGCTGTAGTGGTTAAGAGCGCGAGTTTGATTCCTCACTCCTCCATATGCAGCTGCTGGTGTGACTTTGAGTCAGTCATAAGTTCTTTCAGAGCTCTCTCAGGCCCACCTACCTCACAGGGTGTCTGTTGTGGGGAGTGGAAGAAAAAGGGATTGTAAACTGCTCTGAGACTCCTTTGGATAGTGAATGGCAGGGTATAAATCCAATCTCCTCCTCCTCCACCACCTCTCAGCTCCACTTCTGGGAACATGTCCCACATTCCTTGATTTCATTGGTCCTGCTTTTGGGTGGCTTGGCCTTGGGCCGAATCTGTCCCTGGGTAGTCCTGTCCCTTGCTAAATGTGTGTTTATTAAGACTTACCAACCTTGTCTGGAAGGCCTCCAAGAATGAACACAGAGGCCAAAGTCTTGCTCTCTTGTTGCTCTCCAGGGGTTGCTATACATAGAGTGTGGTCACACATGCCAGATAACGCGGGGAGGGGGCGAATCGAGGCTATTGGCGCCATAGTAATTTGACCCGCCACTGCGTGATCAGATGCTGTGGCAGGTGTATCGGGTATTTTCCTTCGCCGCGTGTTTCTGGTGCGCTTCAGCAAGGGATCACTGACGCAATGGGAGCATGCCGGAGCGATCACATGGGGAAGTCCGTCTGCAGCCCATTGCAAACTCCTTTGCTACTGCAGTTTCCCCGATATTTTTTAACTCCACTTCTTCGGTGGAGCGAAACGGGTTGGTGACGGGTGCGGGACGCTTGCCGGATGTTCCTGTGTGATTGCGCCCTTAAAATCCGCCCGGCATTCGTGCCTATCGCGTGGCTAATTCTGCATGTGGTTGGGACCATAGAGATGTTGTAGCCAAACATGGAAATTCATAGAAGGCTCATAAAGCATAGAGGGCCATTTGTTTTACAGAAGGAGAGGGATTGCTAGGTCTTAAGACTCTGTGATAAAAAATAAGTCAGACTTCATAGTAACAAACTTGCATCTCCACTAGCAGATTCCATATGAATCTTTCCTAGTACTTTCTCTCCTAATAGTTTGGTCCTATTGCTAAGAAGGCCCCAGAATTTTCTTTTGAATCCAGAGGGAGGTGGACGAAAGGTCAAAGGGCTATGGCTTTTACATGATCAAAAGGACCCCCGTATCAAAGTAGTTCTTGCACTACATTTATGCTGACTTGCCAATCAACTTAAATTAGCATCCATTGCAAGTATCTTTTATTGCCAAGGTCAAGTGTCATGAGGATAGAATGCGGGGCCCAGCAAAACGGGGGACTGAATAACATGTGCACGTATAAGCAGCCCAAGCAGAAATTTCTGACCTTGCTATTACCCCTTTGCCTGCAGTGCCATCTTCTTTCCTGTTTGATATAAAACGTTCCCCATATAATGAGCTCTGAATTTAGTGTCCAGGATGATATTTAATGAAGGGTGAACCATAAGACTGACTAATAATGACAAATGATTCGGAGAAAATGTATCTGCTACCTCCTGAAAAGAACTAGGTAGCCAACTGGTTCAGGAGTAAAAAAAAAGTGATGATATATGTTGTAAAGAACAGGTGTCTTCTCTTTTTATTTTTGATAGATAAAAAAGAAAATGGCTGGTATAAGTTGTTCTTATAGGCCTCCATAGAAATGCTTTTCATCAGGAGCAAAAGGTCAAGATGAGTCAAAATTGGTTTCTGGTTTTAGTTGTAAACCAATGTGCTTTGGTAACTTGGTTGCACAATATCCTAGCTAATGTCTTGCTGGGGGATTGTGGTATGGATTTCATACTGCAAAGACAGCCTATCTCCTGCAATTTTCTGAAGAAATGAACAACTTTCTTTATTTCTTCCTTTAGGCACTATAAAAGTTTCAGGGAGAGCTGTGTGCAGATCATATATGGAAGCACAGTGGCAATAAAAACAGCTGGATTTTAAAGAAAATGACAGGTGCCCATCAAGATGATAGCTTATGTCTTTAGACCATTCAGATCCAACGCAACCATTTAGGAAAGCAATCATAGGGTAGAACCACGCTGTCTCTGCACATGTATATCATGTTTCCTGGAGTAAAGTGAGGAAGAAATTATTGGGGGGGAGGCAAGAGACCCTGAACCCTGACCGGCTGCCCCTTTACCTAAAGGTTGCCTTCCAAAAATTGTGCCAGACTTCAGAGCTGAATTTATACACAAGCTAAGTAGGGTTGCCAACTCCAGGTTCAGAAATATCTGGAGATTTTCCAGTGGAGTTTGGGAGGGTGGGGTTTACAGAAGGGAGGTACATCAGTAGGGTATAATGCCAAAAAAATCACCTTCAAAAGCAGCTATTTCCTCCAGGAGAAATGGATTAAATGACAATAAGCAGTCTGTGTAGTCTGAAGATCAACTGTGGCCCCGGTCACACAGGCCAGATAACGCGGGGGGGGGGGTGTGTGGCTGTTTGCCCCAGAGCAAAATAAAGCACAGTAGCCTGATCACACGGTCCCCCAAGTCTTCGCACTTAGGCTGTTAGCTGGTGATCACATGGCGATGCTGGAGTGTGGCAAAGAAGCATGGCAGCAAGCGTTTTGCATTTGTGTGCATGTGCAGTTCCGCAGAGCACCACTGCTTTCAGTTACATGTTTGTGTGCAAGCGCTTACGAAAAACATCCGGTTTGCAACGGGACATGGACGGGCGCCGGATGCCATGGGATACTAGTGTTCCCACAATCAGACACCCGCCCCGCCCCACGTTTTCCGGATAGTAGCGCACTTTCCAAGATAGTTTTTTTACTGCGCACCTTTGGTGGGATGCCACGGGTTGGCCACGGGTGCACTACACTTCCCAGATGTTGCGGTGTGATCACACCCTGAAAATCCGCCTGACATTCATGCCTTTAGCGCGGCAAATCCTCCGTGTGAACAGGGTCTGTAATTCCAGATCTCCGGCAAGCCTAATAAGCTAAATACAGAAAAATTACTGAATATCTCTAAATAAGCAATTTGTTTGCTTGTACTACAATGCCCCTTACATTTGACATAGTTTAGGGCCTCACCGTGGTCCTGCAAGGCCTCCATTTCTCCTTGATGCTTGGAATGCAGAAACAGCAGCTGCCAAGGTGCTAGAGACTCTGGGACTTGTAGTTTTCCATAGCACCTGAGTATTTGGTAGGGATGTCAGATGCTCCAGAAATTATGTATCCCAGATCATCGAACACCTGAGACACTGCAAATCTTGCTCAGCTAATGGCTGCTGTTGCTGCACCACCTGTACTCCTGTAGTATGGAAGTGGCAAGGGAGAGAGCAGACAGACTAGTGTGGGATCAGAATAGATGAAACAGTAACACAGCCATCAAATAGGTTGGGATTGCACAGTGCTCCCCCTTGCTGCCAGTCCTTTCCTTTCTTGCCAAATTCTCCTGGACCTACTTCACTATTTGAGTGTTATGTTTGACCAAAATTATCTATAGGGGCAAACGCCAAATGGAATGCCCGAAATGCATTGGATCTGAAAACCTGTGGGCCATTCTCATTTAAACCAGATTTGTTGTTGTTGTTTTTTTTAAATGGAGATGAGATCTGGGAACAGAAAGTGCTCTGTGGGCTGGGAAATGTCTTTAAGGGTAATCCCAAACAGGTCTGTTTGGAAGTAATTACCATGCTATTCAGTGGGTTTTACTCCAAGGAAAATATTTATAGGATTGCTGCCGTGATCTTGCTCTCAGAGCCAGGCCAGCCTCCTTCTCCAGGATCATGAGGGAACTGTCACATGCACTGGGGTTGCCAGCTCTGGACTGGGAAATTCCTGGAGATTTGGGGGGTGGAGTAAGGGGAGGGAATGTACATGGAATACATGAGGCTTCCTTATACCAAATCAGACCTTTGGTCCGTCAAAGTCAGTATTGTCTACTCAGACTGGCAGCGGCTCTTCAGGGTCTCAGTTAGAAACCTTTCCCATTATCTACTACCTTGATCCTTTCAACTGGAGATGCAGGGATTGAACCTGGGACCTTCTGTATGCAAAGCAGAGGCTCTTTCACTGAGCCACAGCCTTTTCCCTTTCAGTGGGCTATGGCACCACAGAGCCCATCTTCCAAAGCAGCCATTTTATCAAGGTGAAATTATCTCTGTCTCTTGGAGATCAGTTGTAATCCCTGGAGATTTCCAGCCACCACCTGGAAGTTGGCAGCCCTATGTGACATGCGCAACTTTGAAGTTATTCCACCTCTGTAATTCTTTAACCTCCAGGGGGTGTAATTCTTTAACCTCCAGGGAGTGTAGTTGCTCTAAGAACATTACTCAGAGAAGTTCCATTGAAGTAACAGTGTTCAGAATGGTTAGGTTCCCAATTTAATTTCAGGAAACCAGTAATTGCTTAGCAGACACTTTCTTTTTCAGGTCAACAGAAATGCATGCAAGCCAATGAGAGCACATTACATGCAAGCATACAACTGAATGATTCCTTGTGTCATTGCTTTGGTGAGAACTGCCAATTTCGGTTTCGTTATTTGCTGGTGGAGAGAGGCATTCTTAAAGCTGTACTTTATACTGCCAAGGTAAGGGAAAATACACAGTTGTAAATCCTCTTCCAAAAGAAAAACAGGTATACTCTTGCCAAGTGCATCTCTTTCTCTCTATCTCTCTTCATCCTATTCCATCCCCAAGAGTGGGTAATGTAGCTGTTAGAAGAAGTGGTTAAACTTACTGTGTCCTAGCATGTTCTGTGGAACCAGTTCTTTTATACGTTTAAACAAGGTGGGCTGCAGGAACTGGCACCTCATGTTCTTCTCTTTTTTACAAAATTTATTTTGTGTGAGCTTCAAAGTGGGGGAAATACCGTGGTATGTAGAGGAATGCTTTGTGTTCCCAGAATGATGATGAAAAAATAATACCATTGAGAGCAGTAGAAGGAGATCTATAAGCAGAACTTGGATTGGCTTTCTTTGCAGAATGGGAAAAGATAGGTGGCGGTAGAAAGCGCCATCAAGTCGCAGCCAACTTATGGCAACCCCATAGGGTTTTCAAGGCAAGAGACATTCAGAGAGATGCTTTGCCATTGCCTACTTCTGCATAGCGATCCTGGACTTCTTGGTGGTCTCCTATCCAAGTATAAACCAGGGCCAACCCTGGTTAGCTTCCAAGATCTGATGAGATCAAGCTAGTCTGGGTCGTCAGGGTGGGAAAAGAGGGGAGGGGATAGTGAAGTGTGAAAGGTTCTTCTGGGCACCTTCTTATTTCATTAGCAGCAACTCTACAAAGAGGCTGTGTGCCATGTCCAACATGGATTCTTTGCACTATGCTAGTGCCAGATGCTGCCAGGAGTGTATGACACTAGTATGGGCTCTCTCCATAGGCAGACAATGCTGTCACACATTACATTCTGTAGCCCAGAGGTGCTGCCTTACTCTAGGGTAGCCACAACAGCAGGGGCACCCCACTTTCTAACCTGAGGCAGAGACCCACAAATGCAGGCCAAGGAAGACACTCCTGGTTCTGAAACACAGAGCAAGCTATAGCTTTGGAAAAAGGCTCTCCATTTTCAGGTGGCATAAGGCAGCCCTCAGAGCAAACCTCCAGTCTTCTCTCCCCCACCCAGAAAAAGTATGCATATGAAACAATGGCAGTTTCACCAGGTAAAGTATCTACATTTCTAAAGGTTATTCAAAGGCCACCTGGCAAATAGCCCTTCTGTCTCCAAAACTTCACCTAGCCCTTTTATGTGTACCTATGTCTATGTAAAAATCATTTGTTTTCGCAACTGTCTTTCCTGCTCTTTCCC